GAATGAATTCTTCAGTTTGGCAAGCTCTGCTACATTTTTTTTCAGGGCATTGATTTCCTTGAACATTTCCTCTTTCAGGTCCTGTATACTTTTTCTCATTTCATCACGATGTCTAGCTGAGTCCTTGTACATTTCCTCTTTCATGTCCTGTATACTTTTCCTCATTTCATCATGCTGTCTAGCTGTTTTCTTGTATCTCATTTAGTTTCCTTAGAATTTTCACTTGAAATTCCTTGTCAGACATTTCAAGGGCTTCTTGTTCTATAGGATCTAGACCTTGAGAGTTATTGCCCTTTGGTGGTGTACTTTCTTGATTTTTCATATTTCTGGTATCTTTCCTTTGGTGTTTAGTCATTGTGGCAAGGGATTTCACCGTCCACTGTTTCGTTTCAACACTATTGTTTGGCTAAGATCGTGCCAGGATGGCCAACTTGGCATGGCTGCCTCAGTGCCTGTGGGAGGAAGGTTTGGGCCTCTCTGGTCAGTGCCCACTCACCCAGGCTATGGATGGGGACCAGCAGCGGTGAGGCCTACCTGCTTGGTCGTGCTGGTGCTTTGGGGTGTGTGGTCACTGTGGGCCTCTCCAGGGGTGTAGTTGTGGTTTTTGATTTTTGTTTTTGGTTCAAGGGAGAAGATTCCTAAGGATTTTCTATATAAAGAGTCATGACCCCTTCAAATAAAGACAGTTTTTAGTTCTGCCTTTGTAATCTTATTTCTTTTGTTTATTTTTCTTGCTTATCATACTGGCTAATACCTCCGGTACAATATTGAACAGAGGTGATGAAGTATTTCGTTTCTGATCTTAGAGGGAATTAATTCATTAAGTATCATACATTTGTATGTTTTTTTGCCTTTGTAATCTTATTTCTTTTGTTTATTTTTCTTGCTTATCATACTGGCTAATACCTCCAGTACAATATTGAACAGAGGTGATGAAGTATTTCGTTTCTGATCTTAGAGGGAATTAATTCATTAAGTATCATACATTTGTATGTTTTTAAAAAAAATCAGATTGAAGAAGTTCTCTTCTGTTCCTATTGGCTGAGTGTTTATATCATGAATGGTTTTTAAATTTTGTCAGTTTTACTATAAGTATTAAGATGATCATATGGTTTTTCTCTTAATTTTGTTAACATGAGGAATTGCATTGATTGATTTCAAATGGTGAGCCAATCTTTCATTCTTTTGATAAATCCCTTTTGGTAATGATATGTTATCCTGTTTTATATCTACTGCTAGATCCACTTGCTAATATTTTGTTAAAGATTTTTATGTCTATGATCAAGAGTGATAGGTTTCTGATTTTCTTCTCTAGTAATGCTTTTGTTAGGTTTTGCTATCAGGGTTATACTCGATCCAGTAAAATATGATGGGCAGTGTTTCCTCCATTTTCTGAAAGACTTTGTGTGAGATTGATATTATTTCTTCTTAAACTTTTTTGATAGACTTTACCAATGAAGCCTTCTAGGTCTGAAGATTTTCATGTGGGAAAGTCTTATATATAAAACTCAACTTTAGAAAAGGGCTTCTTTCCAGGTTTTCTGTTTCTTCTTGAGTTATTTTTGGTAAATTTGTGTTTCATGGAATTTTTACATGTCATCTCAATTGTCAAATTTATTGACATGAAGTTGTTTATAACATTTATTATACTTTTAATATCTGTGAGATCTGTAGTTGTGTCTCCTCATATCATTCCTAATATTGATAAGTTGTGTTTTTTAATGTTCTTGATTAGTTTAGGTAGGGATTTGTCACATTGGTTAATCTTTTCAAACATCTAACTTTTGCCTTTGATTTCTTTTTTATAATTTTTCTTTTCTACTTTATTGATTTTTGCTCTTATTTTTATTATTTCCTGTCATCTAGTGACTTTGGATTTAATTTGTTCTTCTTTTACTAGCTTTTTAAGATGGAATCTTAGATCATGATTTTCTAATATAAGTATTTAAAGTATAAATTTCCCTGAAAGAACTGCCTTTGCTGCACTCCTCAATTTTCATATAGTTTGTTGTTATCTCTAGTTCAAAGTATTTTCTATTTTCACTTGTGATTTATTCTTTGACTTATGGGTTATTTAGAAGTATTTTATTTAATTTCCAAATGTTTTATTTAAATTCCAAATGTTTCTAAATACCTTATTGTTACTAATTTTGATTTAATTTGATTGTGGTCATAGAACATAATCTCTATGATTTCAAAATGTTGACATTTATTTCCTCTTTTTTTCATGGCCCAGAATTTGGTCTGTCTTGGTTAAAGTTTCACGTACATTTGAGAAGAATGTATGTTTTGTAGTTTGGGGGTGGACTAATCTGTTATCTTCAATTAGATCTTATTGGTTGACATAGTTTTCCAAATCTTCTATATCCTCACTGATTTTTTTCTTACTTGTTCTATCAATTACTGAGAAAACATTAAAATCACCAACTAAGATTGTGGATTAGCCTATTTCTCCCTTTACTTCTGTCAATTTTTCCTTCATATTTTGAAGCTCTGCTATTAGATGCATACACATTCAAGATTTTTATGTTGTCTTGATGAATCTACTCTTTTATCTGAAAATGTCTTTATTTTGCCTTCTTTTACTGAATACATAATTCTAGGTTGACAGTTTTTTTTTTGTCCCCAGGCTTTGTGTAGGCTCCCCTGTACATATATAATTAAGAGGTCAACCAAAGATTTGAGGGAAGTCTATATACATATTTAGGGCCTTCCTCTTTATGACTTGCTCTTTTCTGAGGTTTTCCCCTTTAGTTTCCAGCTCTTTTAGCAGTTCTAAACTCTGTCCTCTGAGTCCTCAGGCAAAAACAACATTTTTTTACTTGAGTTCCAGCTCCCCAGTGGCATACATACTGCCCTCATGGGAAAAGCCATTTAAACATGGGTCTTGCCCTTTATGGTTCCCTCTTTCAAGGATTAAATAGGCTGCAATTTATCTATGACTTTGCTCATTCTCCAGTGTGTTTAAACAAACGTATTTTAAATACTTTGTCACTAGTTTTTAATTGTCATCTGCAGGAGGGTCAGTCGAATACAAGCTACTGTGCCATTACTAGAAACAGAAGCCCATCAAAGGTTTTTAAGCAGGGAAGTGACATGAGTCGACTTACATTTTAACAAGGCCATTTTAGCAGATGAATGGGGATCTACAGTAGGGGGACAAGAATGAAGGCAGGAAGACAAAATATGACTGTTACTAGAGTCTGCTGGTGATTGACTGCTTAGACTAGATGGTGACAGAAGATACTGGTCATGACAAGCAGTGGGTGAGTTTGAAATACTTTTTGGTAAGACTGGTGCTGGGTGGGGAAAAGGGGAGATGTCAGAGACGATGCCCAGATTTCTAGCTTGAGCAATGAAATTATGACACCATTTATCAATACAGGGAAGACTGGACAAGGATGAGATCTGGGGAAAAATACCAAGTTTCATTTTGGACATAAATCTCAAAATGACAAGAAGATAAACAATTGTCTAGTAAAACACTGAATTTATAAATCTGGAGCTCAGGAGAGAGGTCTAATTGAATATGTCTGGCTGCTACACCTTGGGCCAGATGTACATTGGGGAGGAAAGCAGTGTTATTTAGGGGACTGAGAACTGACAGAAGCTAGTTAGAGCTGGATTTCAACTTTCTTAACTGTAGGTGAAACTGCTGGGTAGAGGAGATGAGAGGCTGGCAAAGTAAGCCTACTTATAATTGGGTGTTCTAGGGGGATTAACTACGGCTGCTCTTCTCCCTGGATACAGGGTTACAAGGAAGGAAAGAAGCACGGTGAATGCTGCGGGAGGTGTGTGCCTACGGCTTGTACCATTCAGCTGAGAGGAGGACAGATCATGACGCTGAAGGTGGGAGCAAGCTAGACGTGGGACTCCCCTCTCATGTCACCATTCAGTTTCCTGTTCTGGGATTTTCTTTTTCCAGGAAAGAAGGACTAATTTTGTTTTTTCAGTATTGGCTTCTTTTCCTACTGCTTTCTGATTTTATAAAGAAAAGATGGATGACTTATAGAAGGCACAGGATTTTCTCTTTGATTTAGTTATTTTGTTCCTCTTCTTGACAAGAGTATAGTTGCTGTATGGCCCCATAATTTGCAGTTGGTTGATCTTTAAGAATTTCTCTAGCCTTGAGAGTCTGAGAGAATGGACAGGCAATCAGGGTGAAACAAAATCTGATCTAGGAAAGCCAGAATTAGCCGGTGGGGCTGGGAGGTGGTGCCCCTGGTTCATCTCTAGCTCAGTGATCAATTGGCCAGTTTGCCCTCGCTATGTCTCAATCCTTTAAGCACTTACGTGGTCAGAATAGTCTGAGGATTCTCTACACCTACGCAGTAAATAAGTTGTAAAACTGGGACTCCCCTTCTGCTCTGTGACGCGAGAGTGGGGACTTTATATACGCTGCCTCATTCTTTTTCCCTAGTTCTCCAAATTGTTTCAGCAGTTCCAAGGCGTCAAGGCTATGGTTTGAAGTGGCTTCGTAACCCCAGTGCTGTCTTTGAATTTGCTCTACCCACTGGCACTCTTTTTTTTTTCAGCGTGATTGGCTTCGTAACCCCAGTGCTGTCTTTGAATTTGCTCTACCCACTGGCACTCTTTTTTTTTTTCAGCGTGACGAGACACTCCAGGATGGCTGTGATACTCACTTCTGCAAGGTCAACGAGAGAGAAGAGTACATCTGGGAGAAGAGGGTCATGGGCTGCCTACCCTTTGATGAACACGAATGTCTGGCCAAGGGAGTGAGTAGTCGTGTCTCAGACCCTGCTGCCCTCTTGACGGTCTCAGTCCTTGACTAAGGACAGAGGCCTCTGAACAGCACGCAGCCCAGCTCCAGCATGATTTCCCAGTGTCCAAGGCAATTCTCTGACCTAGTTTAAGAATCACTGAAATCACAAAATGAAAGCCTAAAGGAGAGACAAAATTCCCTACAGCATAGGATGCTTTAAAAAAATCTTGATCCATGAATAGGAAGGTGAAAGGTCAAACTGATTTTTAGTCTCCTTGGGGCTGATGATTCTGTTGACTCAATTGGGAGAAAATTCGGAATAAACAAAGTTGTTTTAGCCTGATCAGGTAGCAGGTCAATCTGCTCACATTAAGTCTAGGGACTTAAGCTTAGGGCTGTGAGTCCAGAGCTAGAAATTGGTCTGGAGTAACCTGAAAGCTGGTCACTGTGTACTATTTGTGCCTAATCTCAGAATTTGCTGTTTTCTTAGGGGAAAATCATGAAAATTCCAGGCACCTGCTGTGACACATGTGAGTACATTACTAACAGTTTGTCCCTTGAAACCCATTCGACCAAGTCCAGGGACTGTTCTTTGGAGTACGCTTTATTTCAGAAAGATATTTCTTGATCACCGTCCAGTCATTATGTTCAACCCTGCAGGGAACAGCCTCCCCTCCCTGAATGTCATTAGACTGTCCTCTGCTCAAATCCCCTTTCAAGTGCCTGTGAAGCAGTCTCTTAGCCCCCTTTCCTCCAGACTCCTTATTGTCTCAAGCCTCTTACGTGCCTTTCCCCTCACAGTCTTCGGCTAACCATAGTCCCATCTTGAAAGAATGTCTTCTTTCTCCAACCAGAACTCCTTGAAGACAAGCATCCTCAACCTGTGATCTTGACAGGGCAGATACTCAATATACATCTTCATTGAGTGTGATACAGCCATCTTGGGGTGAAAGGGAGGCCACCAGCTGGCTAAGGACAGTCCCCTGTGTGATGTGGGGGTGGCAGAGGACATACAGTGTCTTCTCAAGGGTTGATAGGGCTTGTTTACTACCTTCTCTTCTTCACTCTCAGTCCCTCTTGACCTTACAGTTATGCCCTACAGCTTTGGAGACAGTGTTCAAGAAGTCTGCACATCAGACAGGACTCTCCTCACGCATTCTTGTGTCCATGAGCTTAAGTCACTTTCAAAGTCCCACTGCTAATGCTGGATTTTCTGATGCCTGGACTAATATTTTTTTGGTTTTAGTTTTTTTTGTTGTTGTTGTTTTAGGCTCATGGGTCCACACTTATTTACAGGTAGAGGGAAAAGGTAAAAACATGAATACCTTCAGTGTTCAATCATTCACGTTTTTCTCAATGGCTTGCTCTGACAGCCCCTGTAATTGCTGTAACCAAATCACAGGTTGAGGGAACACACTCTGAAAGCATTTCTTTCTAGAAGTCCCTTCTGACCGGTTAAAGAATGTGAAGTCAGGAAACCGTCAGAAAAGATGAATTCTCTCCAGGCATATTGCACATGGGATTTGGTTAAGAGACTGTTATCTACAAAACCAGCAACAAGGGGCTTTTGTTGGCCAATGCGTTCAGGAGGCTTTGAGACCCTTCATAAGGAAAATAAGCCAGGCTCAGGGATTTAAATCTACAGTGAAAGAATATCGTATGTTGGTCTAAATATGTTTTCCTTATTCATCCTCTTAACGTAGTTGGCAGAACTTCCCTTTAAAATGAAATTATTTGGAAGTTGGAAGGCAGGCTAGTATATAGTTAGGGTTGATTTAGATTTGGGGTCATTCAAGAATGGGAGACTCTCAGTGTTCAGATGGGAATGGTGAGCTGGCATTACATCTTAGAATTCTCATTGGGCAAAAGAGAGATTCAGATCTGAATGTCGCCAACCCCTGTATGTAAGGAAACCCATGCTGGTGACCTGGAGATAGCAATACCCAGACAGGACTCTATGAAGACTCCTAGGGATTTTCACGGCCCCCCACAGAGGCAGTGAGTGCCCTTATGTGGCTGTGACATTGGCCTTTCTTCTTACCCGAAGGCAGGGATGAGCAGATATTAATTATATTTACTGTCTGTTTCATTGCCCATTAGCTTCTGGATATAGTTATAGCATGAGAGGATTGCTCCAGCCATTATGGTGTTTAGAGCCTACAATTATATAAAAGCAAGTCTCATCCATTTACATCACCAAAGCATAGTGAATTTAGGCTCCTCCTTCAATTAAAATTGTACCATTAAGCAAGTTAAATCCAGCAATAACTATACCTCTGCACGTGAAGGGCCAGGAGCAGCCGGGGTGAACCAGGATAAGGTAATTCTCCTCCTGTGGCTGGATTTGCTTATTTGTTGACTGTGAAATGGGCCTATTTCCAGCCCAGTGAGGGCACTGGGGCTAAAGAGTATTCTCCAGAGCCCCAGCCAGTCCCCAAGTTCCAACTCTTCCCTGTCCTTTAGGCGAGGAGCCTGAGTGCAGAGACATCACGGCCAGGCTGCAGTATGTGAAGGTGGGGAGCTGCAAGTCTGAAGAGGAAGTGGACATCCATTACTGCCAGGTAAGGGGCTGAATTCAACAAGGGATGGCAAGGGCTCTGTCTCCTTGTTTGGACACAGCTCTTTAGTTACATTCGAGAAGGATCTGGAAAATTTACAAGGAGGAGAGGGGAAAGAAACTGGGAGCATTTTTTTAAGTAAATGTTTTATGAAGTAGCTTAGAACTTTTAACCCTAGAAGAAAAAAACTAAGAAAAGACTTAACAAGTCCTTTGAAGAGAATGGAGAGTTATTTATGGTGGCTGGGCAATGCTTCCTGAAGAAAACGTTTAATCAAACATGCATAAAAATTGCAGCTAGAAGGATCTCAGTGCAATATCACCACAGGACAGAAAATATCAGACATCCTTGAGATCTCCCTTTACAAATTGCCAGCTGTCCTGGTTGTCTCTGGGGGAGGTGAGGTCTGTACTGACAGACCCCTTGGAGGGGTGGGGGGAGGTAGCAGGCTGCCCCAGCGTCCTGCCCAGCCCAGGATTCTTTGTCCTTGTGATGCCCTGTCTCTCTCTGCTCCATTGCAGGGTAAATGTGCCAGCAAAGCCGTGTACTCCATCGACACTGGGGATGTGCAGGACCAGTGCTCCTGCTGCTCGCCGGGGCGGACGGAGCCCATGCAGGTGCCGCTGCGCTGTGCCAATGGCTCTGTTGTGTACCACGAGGTGCTCAATGCCATGCAGTGCACGTGCTCCCCCAGGAAGTGCAGCAAGTGAGGACTGCTGCAGCCACCACCTGCTGTGGCGCCCCGGCCGGAGCGCTGCCCAGCCCTCTGCACATTCTGCTTTTGTGCTCTCCTGGGCCCACAATAAAGGCCAAACTCTCATCTTGCAAAAGGCTGATGGTGCACTGTGTCTTAAGGCTGAGATGCAACTGTAGGCTGAGACTGAGTTCTGAGATTCATTCCAAGAGAGAAAGCACAGGCCCACTGTGGAAACACTCCAGCCCAGTGTCTGTGGGGGGCATTGCCAACCTCCAGGTGGAGAGGGTATGGTGCAGGTCAGGCCTCTTCAGAAGCCCAGCCCATGGTCTGAAGTAAGAGGGATTTGCTTAGGAATACTGGGTTCTCAAATCTCTAAATTGAGGAGTTTCTGAGCATAGCAGAGGGGTGGGCACTGGAGCCATGCTCTTGCCAAGATGGATATGACTGTTGGCATTGTGGCTGACATTGTGGAGAAGGTGTTTGACCAGGTGTGCAAGGATTTCTCTGAGTCTTTGGCTGACAAAGTTCCTGTGTACCCTTAGTGGTCCCTGTGAGAAGGAGAGGTGCTAAGGACTGAGGGGAACCTGGAAACAGGGTGCTGGTGGGTGCAGGGGTGTGGTCCCACCACAGGCTTAGCCAGGGGGAATGAGCCCAGATCTGGAGGCAGGCCTGAGCTCGACACATGGCCCTTGCTCAACTGCGTGGCCTTAGACAAGCCCCTTAATGGTTCTCGGACTTGGTTTCCTCATCTGGAAAACAGAAATGTTAGTCTCATTCATGGGGTTGTGAGGGCAAGTATCCTCAGCCTAAAATAAGGCCTGAGGTAACTGCAAGTGGATCTATAATAATGTAAGAAGTGACGAGAATACAAATGGGGGGTGGGGGCTGGCCGGATTGCTCAATTGTTTAGAGCATGGTGCTGTAACACCAAGGTCAAGGGTTCAGATCCTCGTACCGGCCAGCACCAAAAACAAACAAAAACACCCCACAAAAATGGGAATCAAGGCTCGAAGGGAGGAATGAGTGTCTCTAACATCAGTGACACAGCATTAGGGATTTCCTTCATCCTGTGGGTCTGGAAGAGCTGAGTTTCTTCCAGGCTTTATGCTGGAGGCCAAGGCTATGCCTACTCCAGACATCCTTTAGTGGAAAATAAGAAGAAGA